ACGTATAGATCGCGCTTTCGAGACATGAAAAATACAAGTTAAATTTCGTCAATCGGCCCAGTAGAACAGGAAATATAGAACTGTCCTTTGGGGGGGGGGGGGTAAGGTGTACGATATCCAAACTGGACTGCAATGTTTTCAGTACAGTATGTAGTCATGTTTTCAATTGTAGTCTTAAACGGTTATGACAAAGCAATTACATATCTTATATAGGCCTTTGCGGATCAATGTTGACTTTGTCTTATCTACCTAAATTTTTTTACCTATACGTTATATACGATCTATACGTTATATTCTTATCTACCTAAATTTGGCATAATTTATGACATGGAATCGAAATATGGAAAAAACTCCATGCCATTTCAGAAAACGTCCGATTTTGTGTCAGAATACCTATGTTAGAACAATACTATTTATGAATATAACGTATAGATCGCGCTTTCGAGACATGAAAAATACAAGTTAAATTTCGTCAATCGGCCCAGTAGAACAGGAAATATAGAACTGTCCTTTGGGGGGGGGTAAGGTGTACGATATCCAAACTGGACTGCAATGTTTTCAGTACAGTATGTAGTCATGTTTTCAATTGTAGTCTTAAACGGTTATGACAAAGCAATTACATATCTTATATAGGCCTTTGCGGATCAATGTTGACTTTGTCTTATCTACCTAAATTTTTTTAAACTATTCCACGTCTTAGTTTTTTGAACAAAAACCAGTTGTGCAACATCAGTCATTCATAAAAATATAATATTATTTGAAAGTTATAGTTACTGTGTAAACAGTCTTTCTGCTCGCATTGCATAGTACAGAAGGTCATTTTCACTTTATGGAAACGATTTTGATTGTTAATTTTTATGCGTAAGTGACGTACAGGGGTTGGACAAAAATATGGAAACACCTTTAAAAAACATGTTTCTTTGCTTAATATGGTGTAGGAAACCCGTTGGCATGCAAAACAGCTTGCAGTCTTCTCGGAATGGATAAATACAGTTCCTGTATGTTTGCCAAGGGAATACTATACCATTCTTCCTGCAAAACGGTGGCAAGTTCAGATAACGATGTTGGCGGTGGATAACGAGAACGCACTTTCCGTTCCAATGTAGACCACAAAGGTTCGATAATATTCAGGTCTGGTGACTGTGTTGGCCAGGGGAGACGGGACAACTCATCCTCGTGCTCAGAAAACCAGTCCTGGACAATGTGAGCTGTGTGAACCGGGGCTTTGTCGTCTTGGAAGACACCATCACCATCGGGGAACAAAGTTTGTACCATGGGATGAACTTGATCGGCTAAAATGTTCACGTAAGTCTTGGCAGTCATGTGCCCTGACACAGTTATCATGGGGCTAGCAGAGAACCACGATATGGCTGCCCAAACCATAACAGAACCCCCGCTATGTTTCACTCTTGGCAACAAGCAGTTTGTATTATAGGCTTGAGATGGTGTTCTCCAGACGTAAACTCGGCCAGAAGTGGGAAACAATGTGAAAGAAGACTCGTCAGACCATATTACTCGCTTCCACTGCTCTATAGTCCAGGCTTTATGACTTGAATACCACCTTTTCCTGTTACGGGCATTAGCATCACTGATGAGTGGCTTCTCAATTGCAGCACGGCCAGCAATTCGCTGTTTATGAAGCTCCCTTCTAATTGTTTTGGTACTCACAGGGTTCGGTAACACAACATTCATTTCAGCAGTAACTTTTGCAGCTGTGGTCTTCTTATTTTTCGTCACAATTGCCCTTAATGATCGTCTGTCACGATCACTCGGGACACTTTTTCGTCCGCGCTGTGATTTAGCAGATGATGTTTTTCCGCTTTTCAAATATGCGGAATAAATCTTCGATACAGTACCTCTTGAAACACTAAACACCTCGGCTACCTTGCTTACGGAAGCACCTACCATACGTGCTCCAACAATTTGCCCACGTTCGAAGTCTGTTAACTCTGAGATAATGCAATGGCAACCTCACATAACAGTACTCCGACAACAACTGAACTGTTTAGCACATTTACGATGTTGTATAGGTGGCGTCAGTAGTCAAAAACGCCAGCGCCACGTACATATTTCATTAAAATCAATCTTTCTTTTCAAACATGCATTTCACAAGGTGTTTCCATATTTTTGTCCATTCACTGTACGTCTTGTGGCGATTTGCTTTTATCTGATAACCTTGATTCTTGGCTATAGTTCTAGCTTGAATTTTCATCAAAGTAAAATTTTCTTAGCACCCTCAAGTCAATTTTATCTCACTTCTCTTGAGTCGTTTTCCAAAATCTGTTCATTGTTCTTAGATGCCATTTTCCTAAGGCTCATTGTAATAAACCTAAAGCACAAAAGTCTTTAGGACAAGCGGTAATTGACTTAATTATGTGACTAGAGGCTTTATTCATATGAGCTCAACTTTATCGATGTCCTTTTACGTATAAGACTGGAATTTCTTATTCAGAAATTAGTTCTAATATATTTAAATGTGTGACTAGAGGCTTTGTTCATATGAAGCTCAATTTTATTGATATCATTTTCGTATAGCCCACCAGCGGCCGAGCGGTAAAGTCGCTGAACACTGATAGTTCGATTCGAGGTTCAAATACCGCGAACGGGCTGGCTGCAAGGCCGTTTTCGTGATTTTCCGCATGTATAACGTGTATACGAGCCAGTTTCCCTCAGAAAGCCCTCCACAAAGGCATCCCTCCCCTTAGGCAGATAGCCCTCGAGGCTTTGCCATAATCACACACGCATTTTTGTATAAGATTTGAATTTCTTCTTCAAAAATTGGTTCTAATATATTCTGCTGAAAGTACAATAAATTAATTTTAGCCTTATTTGAGACTTTTCATAACTTTAATTTATCGTTGTAACAAAATTCTGCAACTATGATAAATCCAGTAACATTAACATTTTTCTGTACATTCACGAAGACATTTCGGTCAGTTGAACCAGAGAAAACTATTTTTTTTTTTTTTTATTAAACTCACTTAAATATACACATGTCTAATCGAGTATTACCACAAATTTCCATTTATCAACAGCTAGTTGTTTCTCATATAATATTCTACACAGAGCTGGATTAACATTAAGCAAATTAAACGCATTCTTAGGGCATCAAGAAAGGGGGTTACCACAAAAAGGTACTTAGAGACTTAGGAAAGGGGGCATTACGAAAATTTCTCATTAGAAGTTTCAATCTGGAATATATTGCACAACTAAAGCAAAACCGAAAGAGGAGGGAAATATGGTGCATTTGTATGTGGAGGCACCAAAATCTTTCAAGCACTTCGGCCTTAGTCTTAATCCGACCTTGATTCTACAAATTGTTTTCTTTCCGCAATATGCTTTGGCAAAAGCAGATGAACTTAAGGTTTAAGCATTTATTTAACTTCAAATCATTATGAACGATTTTACTTACACAGCCAGAGAATATCTCAGTTCTGATGCAATGAATCATTGAGTCGGTGGATTTTCTTTCAGTATCCAAAACTGTACACTTTTTACATTTATCTGCATTTGAACAAAAAGTCTTAGGATGCGGTTTTGGGCCATTTTTTCCTTTTAAATTTCAGTTGCTGCTTCCTTTTTAAATTTAATAGATTAAAACTATCTTTCGTTGAAATGCAATAACCTTGCTTTTTGCATCACTTTACAATTTGGCGATACGAATATTTTTCCTCGAAAAGTGCATTTTCGTAAACTTTGAGTCATCTATCAATTTTTGGAGCCGTTTCCAAAATAAATCTAATCTACATTCCAGTCAAAACAAAATATTAGCATACGGTTATAATGAAAATGCCAAACCTTTATCTAAAAATGCTAACGCGAAAATTTATATAGAAAATAGTTTCCACAAAATTCGAAGAAGCCTTTGTGTTGCTTGACATATTATTGTGGTAGTTCAAACGGTTCTTTTCCATTTCTATTTATTGTAACAAGTTTTGCTGTCTTTTATATGAGTAAAATTCGCTGTTTGTGTATATTTCTGTAGACTCACGTCAATTATGAGGGCGATGTATCATTTTCCTCCAGTGGACAAGATCATCATAAAGCGGCACTTCTCAACAATGTAGGTGATGCGGATATTGACCTGAAAACGGATGAGAGTTGCCTTGGCAATATTCGAAGCACCGGTGAACGAATGGCAGCTTTGATTAATAAGAATTTCGTACGTCTGAAAAGAAACATACCGTGAGTATCTTCCATAAATTCACCAATATTTACTTCTGTGATTCATTTCCAATCACTCCTATAATTAATTTTTGATTCAAATAGCATATTTTTATACAAACTGCTATTACATCTAGGAACTTCAGTTTCATTTTTAATCTTAATGTAAGCGTTTCTAGCTTTCAGTCATATTTTTAGCACATATAGAAAAACTCTGAACTCAAACTCGTTTGAGTAGAGAATGACGTCTTTCAATCACTCAAGTATGATTATTTAAACTAAGACAGCATAAAAACTCCTTTTTAAAGTTTAGTATGAGTTCGAGAGTGGATGAAGTTATAAACGAAATGACAGTACCTTAAATGAAATAATCCAGTTGATTTGTGTTGGAAAAATTTTTATTTTTTTACTTCCTTGTACGAAGTAAAAAGGAAGTATTGGAATCGCGAAAAGTTTCAGGCAGCATATTTCAAAGAAAATATCCGTTTTGACTGCTATCGATTGCAATTTAATGATGTTTTCGCGTGATATCTGTACGTAAGGACAGAATAAAATACTCTTTTCCTTCAAAAAAATTATAAAACTGCTTTAAAATTAATTCTGAAAAGAATTTTTCGTGGCGTCTGTACGAACGTATGTACGTACGTATCTCGCATAACTCAAAAACGAGTAGCCTCAGAACGTGGAAATTTTGTATATAGGACTGCTATAACATGTAGATGTGCACCTCGTATTTTGGTTGCAATCGGCCGCACCAAACGTATATAAATATATATATCCACTCTGTTACCCGGCTCAGTAATCTCAGTTTCTTTACTCTTATATGTTTGTAAATTGTACATTTTCTGCTTTAAAAATGATTGAATTATGTTGTTCTTATCTTCCGGTTAAGGTTTTTATGCCTTTAGTAAATCTGTGTGCAATATTTTTAGAATTATAAACAATTTTAAAGTTGTTTAATTGCCGCTAAGCCTGTTTTTAATGGCGGCCATTGATGTTTACATTTCAAACAGGAGACTAGTGGATTTGTTGCCAATCTAGAGAAACTTAGCTTCGCAACAACAAATATAACGCATTCATTTATTACTGCCAATTAAATCATGCTTAATCCTTTCTGGAATTTTTTCGAGGAAATAAGTGTTTGAGATTTACTTCGTAATTTTTAATATAGAAATTTTGAGTTTTTATGTATTTTTGCCTGCTCGCGAAGTGAGAACTGAATTAATTGAATGAGAAATACTCAATCGTCTGTGAAAAACTGTTTCTTTTTTGTTTTGTTTGCTTAATTTCTTTTATACATCGTTCTAGCTTTATTATAGTATTTGAATAGAATATGTGGCAACGATTAGATAATTCTATTCTTTAAATGATATAAATTTTGTGCATTATGAGTTATAATATGAACGAAATATATACGTTAACTGTTATATAATTATTGGATTATATAATTAACTTAGTTTCCGTTATATAATTATTATATAAGTTAACTGTTCTATAATTATTAGTACTGTTAGGTGAATCTAGCGCCAGAGTATCGCTATGGTAAGCAAATACTAGAGTGAATTTTAAAAAATGCATTTATTCTATTGTGGTTTATGCGCTGTCGGCAAAGTATTTAATTCAATCCAATAAGTTTAAATCAAATGCAAGAAAAAATGCGTATAATTTAATATTCCGTTCAAGGAAGTCATGTGGTGTACACATCAGATTTTTTTAATTATATCGTTACATAAATTCTCTTTAGATGGTTATTTTTTGTAATTTTCCATAAATAACGTTCGTCTTCATACAGTATTTTTGTTATATTGACTTTATAAATATGAATACAAATATATAAAATCTAGGCTTTCCATTTTTCGGGTAGGGATGCTTTGCTATAGTGTTAATCAGGTATGCTGACTAACTCTACAGCAAAGGAATTGGCTGATTGCCAATGGTTAGATTAAAATCACTGATATTTACACCTAAGTTATCAACATATAGACTTCAAAAAATGGACTTTAGTTTTTTATTTTATTTTTTAATCACATTTTTGTTTCTCTGATTTTATGTTTCTTATTAGTAACCCAGACTGTTTTTAAACACTATCTTACTATTAGCTATTTATGCATATTGTTATGAAATGCCCAGGTGCTTTAAGATAGCTTCTCCGAAAAGCTAGGATAAGGTTGCTATAAAGTGGCAAGGAAATGCAGATTTATCAGATTTGGTCCGAAATCGCCCCCTTGGCGATATGCCGTAGATGGAGAGAGAATATTCTAGAACAAATTCTTACCGGTTTTACCGAGAATGTTCTCGAAGGCATGTCAAAAGCTATATATATCCCGCCTGTACGCAGAGCAGGGGAGTATCGAGAGTACGTCGAGTTCAGTAGTAGTGTTTTGAGTTCAGAGATTAGCTTGACAGCGACCGAACCGAGTCGGGAGCTGAACTTTAGTGCTTTGCCGTTAAGCTGTCTTCACCGTTATAGCCTGACAGTTTCAGCGTGTTTGCCGTAGTTTTTCGACTGCTGTAACGCATTTTTGGAACTGCTCTGTGCAGTACTGACGAATAAATTGTGCTCTTGATTCTTCATCAAGTGTTATCGTCAATTATTACAAATCCACGAACCTGCACAACGCAACAGTATTTCTCCAGGCTTCTCTTGTTTCTTGTATTTCTGAGAAGGAAAAGCAATGCCTTGATAACCACATACTGGATAAATTATTCACGCCTTTTCTTCATACCCCCCTCCAAAGGCCACGTTCAAATATCTCTTACACATTTAAATCCCAGCAAACGGACTGGCTGGCCAGAAGTTTCGTTGTTTTCTTCATGTATAAAGTATTCCTGTTCCACAGAAAAGTCTCCACGAAAGCATTTTCTTGCTTAGGCAGCTAACCCTTGCGCTATTTACATTAAACCAATGGGTTTTCATCCGCAGAGAACCCGTTGGCGCTTCGGTAAAGAACCCGTTGGCGCCGTTGCAATTTTTACTCGCCAAGAGATGAGCCGAGCCGTAAACGTGATTTATAGTGCATGTAAATTCAAATTAGCAGACAAAACAAAATATTAAGCATATGATAGTAAAAATTCACAGATAATAAGCATGTAGATGTAAAACTAACCGGTTAAACGTGATATACGAAAATAAAGCTGTATTTTTCATAATACAAATAACCTTCAACAGTAATCTAATTTTCTTCAGTAGCATTGTTAACAAAACTAGAACTTTATACATTTTATTATTTTTCAAGACTAATTTGAACTGTATTCCTTACACCAGCAGTGGTTTGCTAAATTTGATGACCATGGGGATGCATCACACTACTCTGTCATCTTAGATAATCAATGATATTTTTTATTTCAATTTAATCAGCTATTTATGTCACACCTGCTATCCTCGGAAAGGTTATTGTTAGAAAAGCATTAACAATATAGTATCTTGTTAAAATTTTACGCCATAAAAATTGGAGCCGTGAACCGGCATCTATCGACGAAAACTTCTTTAATTATAACGAAAATATTTCTATCCATTCGTTGTTAAAAAATTCAGAAAAATAACGTGGAAAATCAGAAAAAATAATAATAAATAAGAGAAGAATATAAATCTTCAAATGCGAACAACGACAGTGATAATTCAACAAAATGAACGCAAGAGGAATGGTTGCAAACTTCAAACAAGCGAATACGATGAATCCGATAGGTTACCAGGTTTGAACTATTATCGCCAAAGTTGGCGATGTTTACATTTACCGGGTTCTCTGCGGAAGTGCTTCCAAACCAATAACTAACCTTTTCTTCAAGCATATTTCCAAAAGTGGGAACTTTCACTGCTGTTTGCTTATAGTGTATTTCTCAATAAGACGATCTTGCGCACACAAATACTTCAAGTTTGGAGACATAGTATACTTATTGCAACTATCGACTAAGTGATGCTGAATCTTTATAGCCATATCTACATATCTAGATTATTTTTGCCTCTGGCACTGGTAGATTCGCTTAGGATTTTTTTTAGGCCCTTTTAATTCTTCTATTTGAATGTTTGTTCTCTTTACAGGCTCGTATTCTTCCAAGTATTCGTGCCTGCTTTTCAAGTTATAGTATTCTGCTTATGCGTTGGAGGAGAGCCTTTCGATCTCCCGGTTGCCATTGTTAATTTGGAGTTCGATCCAGCAGGAAAGGGCGACATGTTCCTGAAACATTTGAGTCCTCATACGTTTCATCAGGTATGTAGCCAACAGTAACATCAAAGGCCTGTGATCATTAAACACAAATTAAATTTAGTGGGATTCTCTATTAATTTCAAAAATGTCTCTTTTTTTATTTTTAGAATAATTTTACGAATTTGAGTCTCGCTTTTGAATCTGTTAGAAGGGGTGAAAACTGGGGAGTTGTATACATCGGACCATCCTTCACGGATAGTTTGATAGATCGGTAAGCTAGCTATTATTTAAAATTTTAAATTAATTACATTGAATCAGTATTACATCTGAATGAATAATGTTCTAGAAACCTACCAACTATACAATATTCATTTACGGGACAGTTTAACGTATATCATTCAAATTAAATTTAAAACTTATATTGAGGGAAAAAAAGAAATAAAAAAGTATTTTATGGAATATCAGAATTTTTGAACCCCACGAATCTTAACAAAGATTCGAGATCCGAAAACTCTAACCTTCGCGTTTTATCCCCAATTTTTAGATCTTTCGAATCCTAATCTAAAAGATAACTAAGTCTCAATATTGTAGAAAGATTAGTTTTTATTACATTCAGCACAAGAATTAATGAAACAAAATGAGCTCAACTGTTGACATACAGCTACCTGACAGCCACACTCTTCATGTTCTGAAGATAATTTATTTAGCATTCTATCTTTACTGTTGATCTACGTTACGTTTCGAAATAATAGTTTCTATACTTGCTTTGATTTATTAAAATTCTAGGAAATGAAAGAAATCTTAACTGTACTTTTTTGCGAAATTAAACTGAGAAAATAAATCTTATGATAATTGGAATTTAGGTATGTTATAAGGTATTTTCTCCCTCCTTTCTGCACGCCTTCGTAGTGTAATGGTTAGCACACTCGGCGCATACTCGAGAGGTCCAAGTTCGAGCACCGGTGAGGGCATTGCTCATTGTTCACGTCTGCAGCATCAAAATAACCTAACGAATCTACACACTGGCGCCCAAACTGCTGGTAAATGACGATTCTTCACCACCAGGATTTGGTGATTGGGTTCCCTATCGCCCAGTCGCCCTTTAGAAGGGAGAGTACATAAGGTACTTTCTCCGTCCTTTTCTACATGTGTTCTAGGTGTAACGGCAGCACATTCGGCACGTATTCGAGAGGTGGAGGTTCGACTGCCTGCGAGGGCATTACTCATTTTTAGTGATGGGCAACTTCTGTACTTTCTTGTACCCGATACGAGAGTAACGGGTACAGACAAGTACCCGGTACAAAATACCCGTTACTCAAGTAACCGTTACTTTGAAAAGTACCGAAAACCGATTTCAAGTACCGAATACCCAAGTAACGATTTGGAGTACCGAAGTAACGAAATACTGGAGTAACGGTTTTCTGTACCGGAGTACCCTAGTAACGATTTGGAGTACCAAAGTACCCTAGTAACGATTTGGAGTACCAAATTACCCTAGTAACGATTTGGAGTACCGAAGTGCCCTAGTAACGATTTGGAGTACCGAAATACGCAGCTAACGATTTTGCGCACTGAAGGAATTCTGCCTCGTCACCACGTGTTTGATTTTATCTGTACGGAGTAGATTTTGAATATCAGAAAACATGTCAACTACGGAAGTGTCTGAGGAGCAGACCATTCATGGACACAAGAAGCGCATATCACCATTTCGAAAATACAACCAGATACTACTGTCCTCGTACCAAAACCGAAGTGAGCTGAACCCTCATCGATCCTCCAGTAACGAATACCGAGAAGAGACGCATATTTTCGTTACAAAGTAGTGAATACCGAAAAGCACTCGTTTCGGTACAGAAGTAACGAATACCGAAAAGTACCCGTTTCGGTACAGAAGTAATGAATACCGAAAAGTACCCGTTTCGGTACAGAAGTAACGAATACCGAAAAGTGCCCGTTTCGGTACAGAAGTAACGAATACCGAAAAGTACCGATTTCGGTACTGAAGTAACGGGTACTTGGATGTACCGATTTTCAGTACCCGTTACAAAATACCCGGTTCCGTACCGACTCATCACTACTCATTTTTCACATCTCACGCTTCAAAATAACCTAATGTTTCTACGATGTACTTTGTCTAGTAAATTTCATTTATATCATCTTAACATTCAAAAGGCTACTCTTAAAGGCTGAATTCTTAAGTGTATTTTTAAAATTACTTGTAGACTTCAAATTATGGTCTAATTAAAAAATTTTTAATAATAAGCAACAATTTTTTTCTTTCTTCTTATTGTATGACAGATTTGAGAATTTCGAAATTCAAAAGATTCAAGTATTCTTTACGATAGGATTAAAATTCGCATTCAAGGAAATTCAAGAATTGTCCAACCTCTAAATAAATCCTAAAATTTCCATAAGTGTGTTTAACTTTTATGGGTTTTATTTTACTTTGTTCAAGACATAGCGCGTGAAATTGCTGTGCTTTTCTTTTTTCTTTGCTTATTTTTTGCGCTTAAACTTGATTTGATGACGCAAAGTAACTGCTTCCTTAAAGAAAGGGCTGTTGGGTGAGATTTGGTTTAAATTATGCTCCATTTCTCTAATCTTAGGTTGAATGTTGCTGGATTTTAATTAGAAGGAAATACTGAAATTTTTATATAAAAATTCTCAAAAGTTATGAAAGCTGAACTAACTGACAAAGTCTTCATCTGTTACATAATAAATAGTAGCTCCATTATTAAGAGTGTAAGATTTTCACTGTGTAAATCTCAGTTACTGTAGAAAGTGATGAATCTTAAGAACTAGATAGCGAATAATCGCTTAAGTTCGTGTGACAAGAAACAACAAGATGGAAGGGTAACTAACCCTTTATTATTCCAATAAGAATTAACAAAACTCCGTCTTGGAGTGTACAATCAAAGCCGACAATTGGGCTTGAACTTAAGAGACTAAGAATTAAACTAAAACTGAGATTAACTAAAGAAATATAGCCGAAGCCATCAAGTTTCTAATGCAGTTGGCCCCTTAAACACCCGATAACTGCGAAGCTATCAAGGGCCTGAGTACGGCCGAGCGTAATAACAGCTTTGAGAGAGAGAGTGGGCAAAAGGCAGACGCGCGTAAATCAGAAACTCGGACGGATTCTCTCTCGCTAAGAACTTCGCGGTTAAATACAGCTCTTCCTCATTATATATACAGAAGTGATTCTAAAACTACGTTCTGGCCGGAAGTAGTAATTTGTACTTAAGAATTTGACAGGAAAGGAACTTTAACTGTTAATAAAATTAATATAATTTTTACAAGCGAAACTAGTATAAATACATTCTACAATTATTAAGAACATTAATTTATTTATTAATAAAACATTCTTCAATTTGATTCCTGATATTGGAGAAAGTGGAAAGTATACGTATTGTAGAATGCTTCCAGTCTGAAGCAGGAAGCACGAAAAATCAGCCGATGCCCTCGCCGAAATCCGGGTATTTCCAATTGCTCCGGAAAATCGCCGAACTCCGGGTAAATCCAATTGCTACCCGCCGAATGTGCTTGAAATTACACCCAAAAAAACACACGATGAGAAAGAAGAAAATTTTTTGTAAGATGATCAACGAAAAAATTATTTAACCGAAGAATTAGCAGTTTTCATTTTTGGAACTACCTTTACTTTTGTAAAATATCTCTGAATAATCTGTTAAATACGCATTTAAATCAAATTTTAATTTGTTCAATGCTCAATATACAGCAAAACCGAAAATAAATGGTATTTTATATAAATTTAAAATTGATCAATTTTACAAAACAAATTAAGAAAGGAAACGTATATAGGGTACAGATATGCGTAATTACATAATTTATTGATGTATGATACATTCGCATATGCACAGATGCCTAATGGACTGATAAAATTTACTAAATCACGGTCGAGAACTGAAGACTACTTACTAATAGTCGAAAATATGTGTATTTATTTTAAACGAATTTTGATAAATTAATATACATATAAGAAAAAAATAAATTTTAAGATATATGGTGTTTCTGTAGTAGGATTACAAACCAGTACGAGGGGTAGGGCGAACGCAGACGACTCGAGATCGCTTATTAATCCATCAAGGTCAAAAATGCTTTTTTCACGCAGCACACAGCATTGGTACAGGCATATTGTACGGATGTTATTGAACGAAAGCGGACTTACGAGTAAGTGGAGTAAGTATGTGCCATTTAAAACGTTACATTTGGCCAAGAATATATCAGGCGTTATGGTCCGATGCACTAGCCTGCTCCATCGTTGTATCCATAGCTACCATTAACTTTTAAGCTCTAGCACATGCTTATTGCTTAAAGCATCAAGGAAAGGGGGAACAACAAATATTTCCCGTTCTCATTTTACCATGGAATGTACGGTGCAGCTAAACCGAATCCGAGATAGAAGGAATGACAACAACAAACGAAAAAAAAAAAAAAAAAAAAAAAAAAGAAAAAAAAAAAAAAAAAGAACTGGCGTAAAATGTATGTGGGGGCACATAAATCTTTTAAGTACTTAGGGTCTCTAAGATTGAAATAATAATACAATACTTAATACGGCCCTGGCCGGACCTAGCATGCCTTTTTTACTTCTTCTGGTGAACTGGTGGGTGATCTAGCCTTCCGTTGACAACTTCCAGGAACTGGTCGTACGCACAGCAACTGCTGGGAAAACCCAAAACATGTTCAGAATTATCCAGACATTCGAACTTTTATGTACCAGAGATGTGAGACCCGCATCACAGCTCGTGGAGGACACTTCAACCACCTTCTTAGATCTCTGTTACATTTTTTAATGTACATGTATTATTAAAACGCACATTCATTCATGCAGTGTCCCTTCGTACCATTGTGCACACTACCGCATGCACATGTATTTCCAACCGTACATGCTATGTGATTTTGAGTCGTCTGTGTGAGCTTTACGTCTTCTACGAGTTTACCCTAATAATGAGACACCATGTATGTTTCAGATTTTATTGAATACGGCATTCTTCTTTGCTCAGTTTCTTATTTAATGATTTTTCTTTAATTTACGAAACAGAGTATTTATCTAATGGTGGTTAGGGTGTAGAGACATTAGGTATTTTTTGGAAGCAGGCAAAATGAAAAATAAGCAATCGATTTCACCGGGAATCGAACCACGGACCTCTGGAATGCCGACCCAACGTGTAGAACCACCACACCACGAAGGCACGCTAGGACAGTGGGAGAAATACCTTATATACTCCCCTTTTTTAAAGAGCGACTGGGGTTTTCAGGGGACCCAATCGCCAAATCCTGGGTGTGGAGAAACCTCATCCAACACCCTTTTAGTTCGGGCGCCACTGTAGAGACATTAGATAGGTTTTGTAAGCAGACAAGATGAAAAATAAGCAATCGCCTTCGCCGGGAATCGAGCCACGGACCTCTGGAATACCAGCCCAGCGTGCAGAACCACCACACCACGAAGGCATGCTAGGAAAGTGGGAGAAATACCTTATAAGGGAAAAGCATCAAAACTTCGCCAATCGAGATTATTTCATTTTATAGTGCAGCTCAAAAAAATAAGCATCAGAGCTTAAAATACGTAAAAGAAAAAGGGCTGAATGTTTTGATTATATGATTATAAAATATCTTCAGCATCCAGAAGTGAATCAGTACAGTATTTTTTTTACTTTGGCTAACTAAATATTTAACTCATATGATAGAAAAATATAAATTATTTTTTATAAAAAATTATTTTTTTTTTTAAATTTAATTTTTAAAAAAGTTTAATATAATACTTGACTTTACTTACTCGTTTCTCAAAAGACTTCATTAGTATTCTCAAAAGACTTCATTCTAAAAATGCCATCTTTCTTCATAACAGTTCGGAAAAGTTCCATTCTGAAATCTTGTTATCATCATTAATTAGTATATTTAAATTTTTTTACTAAATATTTCTTCTTTTTTCAGGTATTTACAGGGTATTGATGTCGACAACGAAACAATTCAAAACAGTACCATAAAAGTATATCTGGATATGACAAGTAAAAATCAATTCTTTGATATTATTATTTATGTTTAAGAGTATATCGATAAATGGGATCTACCTTTGGAAGAAGGACTAATTTGAAACAAAATTATGTAGATGCCTTCTTCCATTGCATGTATTATCCAATTATATTTCTACCAAATTTTTAGCATCAATTTTTGGTTATTCTAAATGCATTATGGGTACACTTATTCATAATTGTCAAATATGCATATAAATCACATCTGAAAGTAAGCACAAAGTCTGGCATAAACGATGCAAATTACTTTGCCAGTTTCGTTGAAAATTTCGTGTATTTGACTTGTGTAGGTAAGGTGTACTTTTTAGCAAAATGTTTTTCAATTGCAGTTGTAGTCAGTACCCATCGTTTTTGATACGGTGAAATACTACAATAGCTGAAATATTGCCAGCACTATCTTTCCGCCTTTGTTCTGTGAAATGTAGAAGATAATCCAGACAAAGTTTTATTATTTATTCTATGTTTTGTGAAATTCGAGATTTCAATACTCTGCCATCTCTTGAAACTACACTGTACAGTATAAATATATATTTCCCCTTTGCCTGGATGATGAAGCTGAAATGTCTGAAAAGTGTACACTTATGTGGAAGACAAAGATAAAGACAGTAAAGAAGAGCACCCTAAAGCAAGCTTTATTAGCTCTCGGTTTATAATCTTTTATAGTTAATAGTTTATGAGTTGAATTTACTGGTATTTATATATGCTTCACGAATATTGCGTTACGCATAGCATTCGGAGTTACCAGCCCTTATTGGGGTTTTGTTGTGACTTATCAACTTGTCTGACAGTCTCCCACACCTCTTTCCCTACCACAACCTGTCTAGGGTACGTTCGGCTCTCCGCATATTTAAAGTGCCCCATGCCGCACAGACACTATACATTTAAAAATATCCAAGCCTTCTTCGGCATTCAAACCTGGGTTCTTTGGTACGGCAGTCATCGTTGCTAACCACTACACGAGTTGGGCAGCTCCTTATTTTTGGAGGGTATTAACTAGGATACGGAACCATTATTGTGTCTCATACACCATATGAATTTTGAAAGCAGTTCTGAATAAAATTTTGCATTAATTTTGTTATATATGAAATTATGAAACCTGAGTTTATACCCCCTCAGAATGCTCTTTTAACTGAACCAAAATTGCTTTTTTTCTTGAGAGACTGATTACCACACAGGTTCAGAAGTCTTAGAAACTCAGATTTTTCTAAGGCATTAAAATCATCTAACCTTACCTCATAATCTTTTCCTTAAAAAAATCTGATGTGTACACCACATGACTTCCTTTGTACGGAACATTAAATTATACGCATTTATTCTTGCATTTTATTTAAACTTATTAAATTGAATTAAACCTACTTCGCCGACAGCGCATAAACCACAATAGAATAAATGCATTCTTTAAAATTCACTTTGTTTACCATAGCGACACTCTGGCGCTAGGTTTACTTAACAGTATTATATTTCTTTCATATTATAACTCTATCTAATCGTTGCCACATGTTCTATTCAAATACTATAATAAAGCTAGAACTATGTATAAAAGAAATTAAGCAAACAAAACAAAAAAGAAACAGTTTTTCACAGACGATTGAGTATTTCCCATTCAATTAATTCAGTTTTCACTTCGCGACAAGGCAAAAATACATAAAAACTCAAAATATCTGCATTAAAAATTACGAAGTAAATCTTAACGCTTATTTCCTCGAAAAAATTCCAGAAAGGATTAAGCATGATTTAAATAATAAATAAGGCGTTATCTTTGTTGTTGCGAAGCTAAGTTTCTCTAGATTTGTAACAAATCCGCTACTCAGTTGTTTCAAATGTAAACAAGAGCAATGGCCGCCATCAAATTATGCTTAGCAGCACTTAAACAATTTTAAAATTTGTTAATAATTCTAAAAATATTGCATACAGGTTTACTAAAGGCAAAAAATCCTTAACCGGAAGATAAAAACAACATAATTCAATCATTTTTAAAGCAAAAAATGTACAATTTACAAACATATAAGAGTAAAGAAACTGAGATCACTGAGCCGGGTAACAGAGTGGATATATATATGAATATATTTATATACGTTTGGTGCGGCCGATTGAAACCAAAATACGACGTGCACATCTACATGTTATAGTAGTCTTATATACAAAATTTCAACGTTCTGAGGCTACTCGCTTTTCAGTTATGCGAGATACGTACGTACGCACGTACGTACATACATTCGTACAGACGCCACGAAAAATTCTCTTCAGAATTCATTTTAAAGCAGTTTTATAATTTTTTTGAAGGAAAAGAGTATTTTATTTTGTCCTTACGTACAGATATCACGCAAAACCATCGTTAAATTGCATTCGATAGCGGTTAAAGTGGATATTTTCGTTGAAATATGCTGCCTGAACTTTTCGCGATTACAATACTTCTTTTTTACTTCGTACAAGGAAGTAAAAAAAGGGAGATTAGGCCATTTTGGTCCCTGAAAGAACAGTATGCCTAGGGCCTTATAATGATTTGTTAAGGCTCTGTTTTAATTCAAAGTTGTAGTAATTCAGGTCCAGACTTGAACTCAAGGCTATATTAATTTAATTTCTCTATATTCAGGTTTACATTATTGTGCACAAAACATTATTCTTGTCCGAAGTAATTAATTATGGAAGCAAAGGATTCTAAGATACCGCAGATATCTTCCCAGAAAAGGCATTCTGTTTTCATGCATCAATAATGTTATGTGTCATCTAAGTTTGAGTTAAATGTTTCCTGCCTTACTACCTGCTTTATTCCTATTGATAAGGAACAGAGAAGAAGCAAATTTTCAAGACATTTCTTCTGACAGCAAATTAATCTATATATATATAAGTTTACTCTCTCTATATATATATGTTTATATATATACTGAAATATGCTTCCATTTCTTGTTAAATGATATGTGATCAAAATGTAAAAAATCAAAGATTATTTTTCAGAGCTTAATTATTAAAGCGTACATTTGTAGGCATATAATAATTAATACTTTCGTTATCAATTTATTAGATCAACAAATTGCTGCAACTATCTTTTCAAAGATTATGGACAGTTTCGATGATTTCGCCAAGGAAATGTTGAGATTGTTCCACAGAAATCCTCTCATAGCAGATCCTCCTATAGTGGTTAGTGAGTTTTTTTTCTTGAATTTATTTGAGAAAAAAATACTAAAACGAGTATTGTAATTATTATGATTACCTGATACAGTTTTTTAAGCTGAAAATCTTCTTTATTTATCACTACTAAATACTTCTAATTTGTTAACACTTTACTGAATAGAATTATTTTCAGACGCAAAGTAAAATAAAGACTCTAGTGTAGAATTGGGTGCCCCTTCGATTAACGATTTTTTTTTTTTTTTTTTTTTTTTTTTTTAATTTTGGCGATGAAACCTCACTTCTGGTTACCATGATAGTTTTAACTTCGTTTTAGCTTCCTGATTTTATTTAAATGAAAATAGATTGATGTGTACATGGACAAATTAAAGGCAGTGCGCAATGCCTAGTTTGTGCAATTCTAGGATGTTGTTTTAAGTGAAAACAGATCGATGTGTACATGGACACAGAGTTTATGCAACTCTTTAACTTCTTATTTATAATGTAACAATATACGTAGCGTATTCGGAAACTAAGTACCGTTTCATTCTAGCGCCATCGCAGCGCTGTGGTAGGCGTCCCGCGCATGCGCACTAGTCTTTCTTGTTCACTGACTTTCAGTTGTCGCCATTTTGGTTGCTCTATGCTGTGTTTTCAGTTTGCTGTGCACATTCAAAATGTTTAAGACAATTAGTTCTCCCGCTAACTGTGAGATTCGTGCCGTGATTAAATTTTTGAACGCGAGGAATGTTAAACCGCCGAATTTATCGTCAAGTGACAGAAGTTTACGGTGAATACGCGATAAGTGATGGAATGGTGAGAAAGTGGGGTAAGAATGTTTAATGCAGGTCGAACAAATGTCCACGCCGAGGCTCGGAGTGGTCGGCCTTCTGTTGTCACCGATGATTTGGTAAGGAAAGTTGATGAAGCAATTCATGAGAACAGACGCTTCACAATGACAACTCTTTCAGAGGCATTTCCACAAATTTCACGTACTGTTTTGTTCGAAATTGTGTCTGACCGCTTGAATTATCGCAAACTGTGTTCCCGATGCGTTTCAAAAATGCTGTGGAGTCGTGAATATCGAAACTGGCGGGAAGTTTCTTTGACGATGGTATACAAAAACTGGTCTAGCGCTATGACTAGTGTTTGATCATTGGCGGAAACTATGTTGAAAAATAGTTTAAGACATGTATTTTCATGTAAAAATAAAATTGGATTCGAAAAAATTGTTTTACTTTTTTTTTTTTTTTTTTTTTTTTTTTTTTTTTTTTTGTAAACATCGATCTGAAGGTTTATTAGGAAAGAATTTTAATGTTATTTTTTTGTTAAACATAAAAAATGTTAATATAATTTTGTGTAAATCATAATGTAATCATAAAATATGAAATGTAAGATAAAGGTGGACGTGGTGCTGTACTGATTAAGCCAAATGGTAAATGGACAGTGCCCACGTCCTCCGTCGCTTATCGCTTAACTTCTTATTTTGGTTTTGTGTAGAGGCTATCTTGAAATTGTGCTTTCCTGCGCCGATCTTGGCATCAAAAAAGAATCGCCAAGAAACAAGAAGCACCCGATTGTAAACTTTTACCAAAGTAAATAGTAATTTAATAAGTAAACCATGAGAACAAATTAATTTATTATATTCTTCTCTTGCATTTTCAATTCTAAATTCAAAGAAATGCTACAGTTTGCCGTTTATCAAAAATACAAATTTAAACATAGATTTTCTTATAATAAAAAATAATATAAACTCCTGGAGAAGTAGCACGTAATTACATTCACAGTAATTACTATTTTTTTTTTTTTTTTTTTTTTTTTTTTTAAGCTGCTCGTTTTGAAACCGACTTATTACTAAAACGATTTTAATTTTCTTGCTCGTAAGTCTGAAACCATTCGCCTCGGTTACATTAAGGGGACTCATACACCTTAAACCCCTCATGATCTTCGAATAAGTGACTGTTGCAAGAATTGGGATATTTTATTTATTTTAAAAGCAATTACTTCCAACATTTTACAGCTGACTACATAATATAGCTGCTTCGGGAAATAGTAACCAGAAATTTTGTGTTGCCACAAATATTTTTGTAATTTAACCCGCTTTGTGACAAAATGTTTCGTCAAGTTTCCGCCTTGCGCGCTTGATATTTTAAAAATGGTTAGTGCTACATACTTGAAATTTAATGGAATTCTTTATATGGGCACTATATTTTAACTGAACCAAAAATTTGGTGAATATTTTAATACTATAAAATTTTATGTACGAAAACATTACAGATTTTTTAACACATTTTTTAAGCTCAACTCCAAATAAAATAAAAATTTAACATGAAATTCTTAAGATTTTGCTTCACAGTAATTTCCAAATGTTATAAAAGCTATGTATTAAATATGGAATTAAATTGTACAACAGAATGTTTTAAACTGTGCGCGCAAGGTGGAAACATGACGAAAAATGTTGTCACAAAGCGGATTAAATTATAAAAGATTTGTGGCAACACAATTTTCTGGTGACTATTTCAGAAAGCAGCTATATTATGTAGTTAGCTGTAAAGCGTTGGTATTAATTGCTTTTAAAATAAATAAGTTATCCCAATTCTTGCAACAGTCACCTATTCGAACATCTTATGGATGTTAAGGTGTATGAGTCCCCTTAAGTTTCCTTCATACAGAAGTAGCAGATCATGCTGGAAAATTGGTAATGGCTAAGTCATGGTCTATTCCTCAGCATAGTTAAATCACTGCTCACGTTATGCCAAACAAGTCAAACTTTAGCAAAGATCTATCAACTTTTAATAGGTTACAAATTCATTCGAAAACAACTTTGGTGCTTGCAACTGCTATTATAACATATATACATGCTTATGCATTTTCTGTGATGTGACCTGCATAACATCATTTTTACTCCTACCACTTTGAAATATACATGGTTTTCGAGATAATTATATAATTGCACAGCCATCTTTACAAATACGACACTGATTTTTATCTCTAAGCAAATAATGTACTAATTTGTATCTCTGCTATAAATATTATATAATAGTATTAATATTATTTAAACAATACTATAATACTAGTGCATTAGTATCGCAAGAGCATATATATATAACTACATATCACTTCTTCTTTTGAAAACAAAGCACAAACATGGCTAGTTATTTTCGCGCATTAAGCTGCAGAAAAATTATCATTAAAGACAAAGTTTTATTAAAGACATAATGTTTTTGTTCATTTTTCTTTAAATTTCATAATTTTTGAAGAGGGTTGTGCTTGTTTGAAATGTTTTGGTTTTTAACATTTTTGAATTTATTGTTGCATTTCTATGATTATTTCAAAGTGATTAATTATGAATTTCAATTTCTGGGCTTTGTGAAACATTAGTTCTAAATTTCTTACTTTGTATATACGTAGTATTCGGAAACTAAGTACCGTTTCATTCTAGCGCCGTCGCAGCGCTGTGGTAGGCGTCCCGCGCATGCGCACTAGTCTTTCTTGTTCACTGACTTTCAATTGTCGCCATTTTGGTTGCTCTATGTTGTGTTTTCAGTTTGCTGTGCACATTCAAAATGTTTAAGACAATTAGTTCTCCCGCTAACTGTGAGATTCGTGCCGTGATTAAATTTTTGAACGCGAGGAATGTTAAACCGGCCGAAATTTATCGTCAAGTGACAGAAGTTTACGGTGAATACGCGATAAGTGATGGAATGGTGAGAAAGTGGGTAAGAATGTTTAATGCAGGTCGAACAAATGTCCACGACGCCGAGGCTCGGAGTGGTCGGCCTTCTGTTGTCACCGATGATTTGGTAAGGAAAGTTGATGAAGCAATTCATGAGAACAGACGCTTCACAATGACAACTCTTTCAGAGGCATTTCCACAAATTTCACGTACTGTTTTGTTCGAAATTGTGTCTGACCGCTTGAATTATCGCAAACTGTGTTTCCGATGGGTTCCAAAAATGCTCACTGATGTTCACAAAACAAAGCGACTTGGTAGTGCCCTGACATTTCTCACGCGGTACAGTGATGAGGGAGAAAACTTTTTAAACCAAATTGTGACAGGTGATGAAACTTGGGTGTGTCATTTCACACCAGAATCGAAACAACAATCGATGAAGTGGAGACACACTCATTCTCCGAAGAAACAAAAGTTCAAAGTGACAATGTCATCACAAAAAAAATCATGTGCACTGTCTTCTGGATAGGAAAGGCGTTTTGCTTACTGAATTTCTTCCCAGAGGTGAAACCATTAATGCGGCACGATATTGTGAGACTTCAACAAAACTAAGGCGTGCCATTCAAAACAAACGAAGAGGAATGCTCAGTAAAGGAATTGTGTTGCTCCATGACAATGCTCGGCCCCATACTGCTGGTGTCACTCGTTAATCGTTAATTCGACAGTTTCATTGGGAGCAGTTCGATCACCCGCCGTACAGCCCGGACTTGGCGCCGTCCGACTATCACTTGTTCTGCACATGAAGCGCGAGCTTGGTGGCAAGCGCTTTGGATCTGACGATGACACGAAAAATGCTGTGGAGTCGTGGTTATCGAAACTGGCGGGAAGTTTCTTTGACGATGGTATACAAAAACTGGTCACCCGCTATGACAAGTGTTTGATCATTGGCGGAAACTATGTTGAAAAATAGTTTAAGACATGTATTTTCATGTAAAAATAAAATTGGATTCGAAAAAATTGTTTTACTTTTTTTTTTTTTTTTTCCAAAACGGTACTTAGTTTTCGACTACGCCTCGTATATATATATAGTTTGAATTTAACATTATACTTCTATTCGTATAAAACTACATAAATTTAAAATTAATAAGAAATTTTAAGCAAAAATAAAAATAAAAATAATTATTATTTCTGCGACTAATTTACAATATCATTTAAATTCTAAGAGCATATGTAAATTAAGTGCACGTATCTAAAACCATGAAAAAATACATAATATTCCAAAAATTAATCTCAAAAAAATTTTTAAGGAATTTCTAAGGCCGAATTAAATTGTATAAGTGAATAATTGTTGAGCAGG